GCGACATGCGCAGCTTATTTCCTGCTAGAAAAAGCAAGATGCCTAGCAAAAGTTTCTAAAGCCTGCAGAAAAGCTCTTGTTTACCCCCAATTCTTCGTGTGTGGGCCTGAGCTAAATGTTTATAGGAAAAGAAATTCTGGAAGTACTTTGCCAATGATGCGCTAATATGAGCTCTTTCTAAGGCGGCGCCGGCCTGTTGCGCGGCGCAGTGGGAGCAAAAATGCTGAACAGCCTCCCGTTAAAGCATTCCACGGGCGCTGAAGCCTGCCTGTTGAACTGACCTGAAATATTCCATAAATTTACTTATGACATTTCGACTGGTAGAAATCGCATATTTCACTCTGTGAAGGGCAGCGACTGGAGAACCCCTTACTGTAAGAGAAAGCGTGGATCTAGAGCACGGACAGTTTTCATCGTTCCCGTGCCTGAGTTACGTTGCAAAGCGTGACCGTTGCTTTTGCGTTTCAATTTGCTTCCCACTAGATTGGCTTTTTCTGCCACGGAAATCTCATTTTTAACAGTTGCGGGATTGCTGGCTCAGATCCTGTCTAGAGTCTTGTGCGAGCGTCTCCAGAAGGAGCTCACTAAGCATTTTCAACGCCATATTGATGTGGGCATGAAATGCCGCGACTTCTCCTCAATCTGCCAGCTTGAATATTGTTTCACTAAATTTGCAGACATTTTTGCCCTTACACAGGCATTTCTTCTACCAGGAGATCTTAACGACCAGTCAGTGGATATGTTACGTCTGAGCTTCATCTTCCTGAGCGCCGCGCTGTTGTTATTGTTCGACAACACCTCAGCTGGAGCTGGACAAAATACTGTAACGTATACTGCAAAGCTTGGTAAGCTATTAACCTTGGCTGTCACGCGCACTTTCTTTCGAGTTTGCTGACTCCGCTTGGAAGCCATTCCAATAATTTTGGCCGACACCGCACTTACTCTCTTGTTCAAATGTGCAATCAAAATCATATGCAAACAAATGAGACTGCTTGGGCTCAATCGTTGCAGGTGACACTGTCCAATGCCTCAGCGAAGTTAACGCTGCCCGTGAGGCAGCTGGATTGGCGAACTTCATTCAGGCAACAGTCGACGAAAAAAAAATATCTGACCCTGGAGAAAATGAGCTTACCGAAAACAAATGGAGGGACCTTTGTGAACATTTGATACCCGTAAGGCGCTGAGCATTATGTAGACTTCGTTTCATTAGCCTCATCATGAGTACTGGAGCTGCCTTGATCTCTTGCTTCCTTCTCTCAGATGCCATCCGAAACATTTAGCGTCCAAGCGGTGGCAGATCCCTTCAAAGATGGAACGTATGCTTTCAAGTCCCTTACTGCCGAGCAACCAAACTGCGCCGAAACTGTCGATTACTGGAAGGCGGCCTACAAAAACTTCACGGGACTGCCGCCTCCAAAGGGTGAAGCTGGAACATTGTACGACAATCAAGACAACGTTTCCTTTGTAGCCTTGTACAACCCTTCTTCGAATGCCACTGCAGACTGTCGAGTCGTTACTTGTACTCAAACGACGTCTTCTGCTGACCCTTCATCTCGCGTCTCAAGCGACGGCAACGATGGGAACACGAAATTGGGCTACGCAATGCTTTGCAAGACGACACCTACTGCTTTTGAAAATGACAGTACTGCTCCATTTACGTGAGTAACACTCCAGTCCTTGTGTCGCACTGCTACACAGATCGACCTGATAATTGTAAGCTCGACTTAATATTGTCTACTTAACTGCGGGGCTTTCGCAGGCAAGAGCAATGGGACAAGATCAAATCTTCTCTCACAGGACACGCGTCGATAGCAGCTCCAAGCCTGGCTGCTCTTGCCATTCTGCG